GATAGCCGCAGCGGTGATGTCGAATGAGTTTCCTTCGGCGATGCAATCGAAAGCCAATTTGAGCTTGTCGTTGGTAGCTTCGCGGATCTTAGCGCCTACATCGGCGTCTTTGTAGTTGAAGACCTGGTCGGCGCCTAGTTTGCGGAGGAGGTCGAAGTTGTGCGGTGAGGATGTCGCAATGACTTCGCAGCCTGTGTGTTTTGCGTATTGGATGGCGAGGGTGCCGGTTGCGGTGGAGCCGCCGTAGATGAGAACGGGGGTTGGTGATTGGACCTTTGCAGGCGGGAAGGGTAGGCCGAGTTCTTGGTAGAGGCCTTGGGCTACGGTTGTGACGCCGACGCCTAGAGTGGCGGCATCTTCGAAGGACATGTTGGAGGGGATCTTGAGGTTGATTCCAGTCTTGGCTTTGACGTGCTCGGCGAATGCGCCGTTGGAGTGGTCTGCTGGGTCGCCTGGGATGTGTTAATAACCAGCTGCATTGTTGTTCAATGGTCGTCGTACCTCCGCGAACAAATCCAGCAATGCGGTCTCCAACCTTGTAGTGTGTTACATCCTTGCCAACTTCCTCAACTTCACCAGCATAATCGCATCCAGCAATAGCACCCGGCGCCGCGGCCCTATCGATGTTCTTCCAATCCGTCGGGTTCAACGCTACAGCTTTCGTCTTTACCAGGAGCCAATTCTCAGCGGGGAGCTTAGGGATCGGGACGTCATTGCGCAATTCAGATACGCCTTCAGAGACGTGAACGACTGCTCTTTGTGTAGACATGTTGCGTATGTGAAAAGAACTTGGGATTCTGGTATGTGAATTTCGAAACTTGGTTAGATGGGTGAAGATTGTTCTCATGGTTTATAAACCTAGACTGATTGAGATCCATTTCTGCTATGATGCAAGATGTACTAGTGGATTTGTAATGGGAGGGGACTACCGCGTCATGCAGCCTTCTTTAGGACTACCCGTGGACGGGCGGAGCGGAGTATGTTCGGCGAATTCTGTGGAGCATGCTGAGTATACTGGAAGGCCAGTGAATGTTGATTAATTGTAGTGCGTCGTGACATGGCATGCTATGGGCCGGTATGGCATGGCATTTGACACAATATGTGTGTGGTGAGTGCCGTTGTAGCAGTCGCTGACAGGAGTGTGATGGTCCAAGCTCGGACTGCGCTAACTTTGGCGCAAGGGTCCAGCATCGCGACAGCTCCACGCGTAGCTTTCCTACTCTATCCCCAGCATATACAATTGTCCTGAAGCTTGTCAAGTGCATAAACTCCGATTGCGACCATGGACGAACCTCAGCGACCGCCAACGCCTGATGACGAAGACATCAAGCTCAACTTCTTCCCCGACCCCCCGCCTTTCTACAAGCACTTCACCACCGAAAACCTCGCGCGACTCAAGGAAATTGAGAAGGAAGCCGCGCCCGAAGATGACGAAACGAAACCTTCGCCCTCGCATCCTGCAACAAGACTCACTGCAGAGCAAATCCTCGCCCTACCAACCGAACTCCGCTACCTGATCCCACCCGAACCACCCGCCGACGATGCCGAATTCCACGTCTTCGGCACAAAAGAAAAGGCAAAGGGCAAAGATGTCTTCCAGCAAAACATGGACTTCATAGCCGAGCAGCTGAAATGGCAAGACGTCTTCCCAGACTGGTCGTACGAGCAACTCTACCCTTCCTCCTCCACCGAACCCACCACCGACGACCCCTCCGCGCAACAGCCTACGGCGAACAACTCTGCGTCTCTCGACCGGCAGAACTACCTCTTCAGGTTCCTGCGAAGCATACTCATGAGTTATATATCGCTACTCGGCATCGTGGCAGCGAACCCGACGTCAGAGCAAAAAGACCAGAAACTCAAGGATATCATGACGCTGGTCGCGAATATGCATGCGCTTATCAATGAGTACCGGCCGCATCAGGCGAGGCAGACGCTGATTGCGAAGATGGAGGAGCAGGTGCGCAAGAAGAGGGAGGAGGTTGAAGGTGTGAGGAGGATGGGGGAGAAGGTCAAGGAGGTGCTTGCTGGATTCGGTGGGGTTGATGGAGAAGACAAGTCGGGTGATGGGGGTGAAGAGACTATTGAGGATGGTATGAGGGCAAGGGATGAGGACAGAAGGCGCGTGCAAAGGGGCATGTGGGAGGCTATTGGTGAGGTTGTGGGATAAGACGCGTCATATCAGGCAATCATCACGACGAATGTTAATATTACACAAGGCAGCGGAAGCTGGTGTCTGCTGTCGGCTCGCGATCCCCACACGAGATCTGCCCGTACCTGTGAAGCCGGCACATGATGCGTCTGCCGCATCAGCGCAAAGAAGCATCAGAGTATCTTTGATGGACGCCAAAGATGTATGAGCTCAGACCGACTGCGCCTAGTATACATTGCAAGCAAGCAGCCACACTGCTGGGGTCTGGCATAGTGCTGGACGTCTAGTCATGGATTGCTCTCAGCCATATCGAGAATATTTACACCCACCATGGTCCTTTCTTCCACATACGACCATAGGATCATGAAAATTAGGCTTCCCGTCCGCTCAGCCATATACAAGCATGATACCGGCGGATTAGTAGTTAGGTGGGTGACCACTAGCGAATCCCCGCTGTTGTATGTATTTGGTCTTTTTTGCCAGTTGCACCATCTTTTTGCTACTCTGGCCATGACGTCATGGCACTTGCCGTCCTGCAGCCTTCCAGGAACACCAATCCAGAACCTCCCCAGGGCTGGCCTACGATCGTTCTCAGCCACGTCCAAAGCCACATTTTTTTACTGATCAGCTGTTCCTCCGTCGTTCATCTCATTGTTTCGGAACTTCCCGCTGTCGCATGCGCCGGTTAATGTTGTGCTTGTGACACCGACGTAGGGCTGAACGGATCCCAAGGTTGGCACGCGCTCAGCCCTGGTGCGCAGACCGCCGAATACTCGATAAAGAAGGCAACCACAGCTGAGCTTTTTGGCAAATTCAGCCCCTGACCGACTGTCCTTCAGCCTACAAACGCCTAGAGATAAGCAAGTAAGACGGGGAGGACTGCTATTTATCCACACGCGACCGCGTCGTTTTCATCAACTCTCTACGCGCTTCTTTGGTTTATCAACTCACCTTTCGTTAACCTTCTGGTCTGCGCTGCGCGCAACTTTTCCTTACCAACTCTTCGCCATGCCTTCCACGACTTCATTAAGGCCAAGCAAACGCCTAGCCATCTTCTGCGACGGAACATGGGTAGGTCGCGAAACCCAAGTCGAAGACGCGCCTCCAAGCAACATCCGCCAACTCGCCAACATGGTCGGCGAAGTACAATACTCTACCGACGACAAGACAGCCGCAAAAGTCCACCACATCAAACCGCACAAGACAACCACCAGCAGCTCGACCCCCGACATCATCGCCGGCTACCAGGAAGGCGTAGGTCTTAACAAGACTTTCCTGCAATATATCTGGGACGGCGCAACCGCCTCCACCATCAGCGACGAATGCATAGCCGTATACCGTTTCATCGTCGAAAACTACACGCCCGACCATGAGATCTGGTTATTTGGATTTAGCCGCGGCGCCTTCACCGTGCGTTGCGTCGCCGGCATAATAAACAACTGCGGCATAATAAAACGACTCCCGTCATACTCCGACGCCGAAGTCCAACGTCTCTGCTACGAAGTCTTCCGCACATACCGCAGCAACCTCCCTGTTGACGCCCCCAAAAGCGAAGAATGCCAGAGATGGAAAGGCCTAGGCGATAGAGTCTGGCAGGTCAAACGGCCAATCCGTTTCATGGGGATTATAGATACAGTCGGCGCACTTGGCATCCCGCGCCTGAATGCCGGAATAGGATTCGACTGGTCCCCGTTCGAGTTCTTCGATCAAACCGTTTCCAGCGTCGTGCAACACGTGTATCACGCCCCGTGCCTGCACGACCGTCTGTGGATCTTCCAGCCTTGTCTCGTGTATCCCAACGAAGACGATGAAGAGGAGAAGGACAGAGCGGTGGTAAACCAACGCTGGTTCCCAGGTACCCACTACGACGTCGGCCGCATGACCTTCCGCTTCGTGCGACAAAGCCCCGCGAACTGGATCGAAGATGCACTGGGCTGGTTGCCGAATCTCCTCTCGCGGACTATCTATCCGAATGAAGTGCTTAGCGACGCGGTGTTGCGGTGGTTAGTACAGGGAGTACGGGATGTAGACAACGACTCTGCAACGCCGTTGATGCCTAATACCGAACAACACATCTCCATTCTCAGCACGCGGCTTGGCGAATCCTCGTTAGCATTGCCAAAAGAGCCTGCAGCGCCGAGTGCACGCACAGGAAGCGGCGATATCTACGGCGACGTCCTCGCCTATGCACCCGGGGGCGTGCTCTTCAGTGCTATTCAACGGACCTCCCGCTCCATTACTAGTGCTCTAAACAACATCTTCCCCCAACTCGGTGATAACCTGCAGGGGCTACTGGGTATCAAGACGCTCGTCGGTATTCTGACGGCGACGGCGGATCGACGCATACCGGGGACGCAGGCGGATGTGTATCCGTATATGGAAGAGGAGAGTGTGGTGGTTGAGGGGGGGAGGGAGGTTAGATTTAAGGTGGAGGAGTTGGCTAGACTGAATGAGAAGAATGAGAGGGGGGTGTTGAGGTATCCGAGTCAGACGCTTGAGGCGTTTTTGTTGTGGAAGAGGGTTTTTGGGAGGGAGGAGAATGTGTGAGTGAGTGATAGTTTGGTGATGAGGGGTCTTCGGCTTTTTTGTAGATATTGTGGTGGTGGTGGTAAGGGTACACATTGTTTCTCAATTGGCTTCAATATAGCTTGCCTTTACTTGCTCTTGTTCATCTGGAAAGCAGCTTCATTCGAAAACGCCTTCTTATCGACGACTTGATCCCTAGTAAAATATCTATTAGGTCCCTTCTATATTCTGAGCATTTACATCATCAACCTTAAAAAGACTCCGTCATCATCATCATCAACAGACCCACCACATCCCCGATAAAACACGATAGAGGCAAGACTTACTTCTTGCCACGGCCTCCGAAACCCCATCGGATCTGATTTGCCCATCTACCCTCAACACCAAGGTCATCAGCGCACTGCCAGACGAAACCAGGGTTCTTCTGAAACATGCGCCCGATGAAAGCAACGTCGAGGTTATCGTTCTCCAGATACCCGTTCGCTTGCTTGCCATCGGTGATACTACCCACGGTGCCGACCGCCATCTTGTCTCCCACCTTGTCCTTGACTGCCTTGGCAAACGGCTCTTGGTACCCGGGTCCACCGTGGATATGCTGTTTCTCGTGGAGACCACCGGATGAAACGTCGAGCAAGTCTACGCCGCGATCGGCGAGTATCTCAGCGAGTTTGACGGTCTGGTCGACGGTCCAGCCCTCGATGCCGGCTTCGTCAAGCCAGTCTGTGGCACTGATACGCAGGACGAGCGGCATATCTTTCGGGATCGTCTTGCGGGTGAGATCGACGAGTTCAAGGGTGAGGCGCGTGCGGTTCTCGAAAGAGCCGCCGTATTCGTCTGTGCGGTGGTTAGAGGCGGGGGAGAGGAAGGTGTGCAGCAGGTAGCCGTGCGCGTTGTGGATTTCGATGGTGTCGAAACCGATGTCTACGGCGCGCTTGACGGCGTCGACGAAGGCTTGCTTGAAGGCTTCGATGTCTTGTTTTGTCATCTCCTTGGGTGTGCAGTGCTTGTCGTTGAAGGCGATGGCGGAGGGCGCATACACGTTGTCGGGCCAGCCGTTTAGTTCCTTCGTTGCGATGTCGCCTTTGCTGAGCCACGGGGCGACGGTGCTGGCTTTGCGGCCAGCGTGTGCGAGTTGGATGCCGATCTTTTGGCCTTGAGAGTGCGCAAATTCTACGATCTTGCGGAGAGGCTCCTTTTGCGAGTCTTTCCAGAGACCGCAGTCTTCGGGTGTGATCCTTCCTTCGGCTTGTACGGCGGTGGCCTCGACGAACGTCAGGCCGGGACCGCGCTGGATGATGCCGCCCAAGTGTGTGAGGTGCCAGTTTGTCTGGTGACCGTCTTCGGCGGAGTATTGGCAGAGAGGGGAGAGGGCGAGGCGGTTCTGGATCGTCATGCCTCGGAGCTTGAGGGGCTGGAAGAGCTTGGGGATCTTGGAGCTGCCGTCGAGCATGCCAAGGGCTGTTCCGGCGACGGGCTCTTGTGCGGGAGTGAAGTAGGGAATCTGGATGGGTCAGCTAGGCAAAGGTATGGGGCTTGGATGTATGCATACACCAGGAGCGGCCTTGTTCCTCAGCTCATCGTGCTTAGGGACTTGTTCGCTATTCTTATCCTCGGGGATATCCTTTGCGATCGCATGATGCGAGTGCGGCTTGTCGGTATCAGCCTCGATTCCCATTATGGCGGTTGTTGGTATGTAAAATTGGATGTGTGAAGTGTGAGGAGTATTATGTCGAGAGTCGGAAGCTCAATGGATATGGAAAGCGGAGGATGGGTGGACAATGGCATCTTTATACGCTCCTGCCATTCTTCTCGAAAGTACCGGCATGACGTGCATGTTTGGACATTGTTACCATAGAACCCCAGCGGCGGGGCATCTTTGGCGCCCCGCCTTCCTCGTTCGGCATGGCTCGTCGCTAGCAGCTCATCATTACGCTGCGTCCTGATTTGTAAGACGCACGTTGTCGCATTCACCGATAGGCGTCGGGTAGTCGAGTGTGTTGTTGAGGGCGCGCGTACCTGAGCGATGGTTTACTGTTCTATGGTCGAGCCAGTCAGGAGTTCGCTGGGAAGCTTAGACATGCGCTGACAGAGATAGCCGAGTAACATAAGCAATCCTTCTCATGATCTGCATGCATCCGTCATGCTGTACGCTATATAGCCTGGAGCTTGTTCGCCTCTACTTCGGAATACTTAAGCGTTTGTACCTGTTCGCTACTTACTGAGCTTCACGCAGCATGCCTCAGAAGCTTGGAAGACATTCTTGCATTGCCTTACTAAGCATGGTGATATACCCGGCGGCTACTTGGCCATTGCGACGCGGCTCAAAATCGGCCCAAGCCACGCCGCCGAACTCTACCGCTCCAAGCCATTAGTGCTGGAATCGATTCTGTCTCACCGACTTCCCAACTCAGTATACCAAGTCTTTAACGCTGGTATTGACCCTGCTAAATATGCGACAAGCATAGAGCGTAGAGCTTCGTCAACCATGGCGTCTTGTCAAGCTTTCTCTCGTGCGTGTAAGCACCATGTGTGACATAGCCTGTTCAGCTTTGAGCACTACCCAACCAACGCACGCGTCGCGCACCATCAAGCCTGCCCGTCCAGTCTCGGAGGCCAATTGAGCGCTCGATACCCAGATCCATATAAGTCTTCCGGGTCATTATGCTCGATGACTGGTACCTTCGGATACATGAGATAGCAATCGGGTTGAGCTTCAAGATCAGGCCTGTACGTCTCCATCTCTTTCTCTGGTCGAAGCACAGCATAGCTTCGTGTCGCGAACCCATTCTCAACACCGTTACACTTCATGTATGTATTCCCTACTCGCCATTCGCTTTCGATATCCGAGTCCGCCATATCATATACGTCCTGTGCGAGGTCTACCGGCGGCTGGACGATGCGAAATCCCTCCAGCTCTTCTTCCCTCCGCAGAACTTGCTCTACCAGATCACGGGGATCTTGATTGCGGCGCTGAGTTCGCATTTGGTAACCGTGATCAGGGAACGGTCTCGGGAACCTGACCATCATAAAGTTCAAACTTTTCATATCATGTCGGATGGACCTCAATGACCAACGGATTCGTTGGTATGTGATTTCTGTCGTCAAGGGACCTTGGATGAACACGGAAAGGCGTTCGAGGTTCGGAAGACTTTGGATGGCTCTAGCGATACTGGGGCTTGACCCTGATGTTGTGAAAGTCTCAATGCTCCATGGAGATGGTAAGCCGTCTGCCCCGGCATACAAGAATTGATGCTGGCCAAGCTCGCGGAACTGGAAGTGAATGTGCAATGAGCGAATTTGGGATAGGTGCGATGCAAGAGCAGCCCGACGGAAGTCAATCAGAACCGTGTTGTGAAGCATCGCAAAAGTGTTCGATTCGTAGAGCACACCGATGGTTTCTCGATAACTAAATGGAGCTTTGTTAGTTGCAAGGCTGGATTCTCGCACGCGAATGTCTCTCTTACACTAGCCGGCATGACTGGAGCACCGCCAATACGTTGGTTCTCTCACGCTTGCCGTGCAGGTTTGCAGCGTAGTTTGTGTGGACTGCCTGGACGACCGCTGGTGTGATGTTCGAGACTTCGCCAGGGCCCACATCCTCCAGGAACTCGTAGGCGATTCTGCCGTTCCTGTAGTACAACGCGATGTGCTTTTCGCCTAACAGATGTTTCCAAATGATGGAACGTAGCTCAGCCGGCAAATTCAAAAGCTTGCTCTGCGATTGAGTGTCTGCTGAGTCGTCGCGCGGCGATAGTGGGATGTACGGAGGTTCTGGGTTCACCTTCTCAGAAGTGACACTGTGAGGGGAGCTCGGCCAAAGGCGAACGCAAAGGCAAGCCGCAAGATTCCACGGAAGACAGATGAAGAACCGTGCAGCGCGGCGCCATTGAGCTGCCTTACCCGTCCTCCTCGGCCGATTGTTAATGTCGACAATCTGCATAATGAAGATGCGATGGGACGGTTGTGCATGCGACAATTTGGAAGCTGCCGTCTAGAATGTGGCAATGCGGTCAGCTGGCGGGCTATCCAGTCACAGCGAGTTACATGTTGCTGCCTGCAGGACTTCAGGGCTCAACCGTGCCGCATGCGGACGTATGACCTCTGCAACATCGTCGCTTCTGGTTCTTACTCACTCCAAGATACTGGAGCGGGACAGTACTTTCAATCCGACGTTCAATCCGGATACCACTGCCTGCTCCTACTAATCAACATGCAGTCTCACCACGCGCCGGACGTGGCCATCGTACCAAGCCTGGGAGAAGAACAAGAACACCGCGCGCATTCACGGGTTGCGCTCTGGACACACGGCATGAGGGGCTTTCTAGACAAGAAAATTCGACTCGCAGATAGAATCCGTGAAGAGCTGGGCGAAATGATGGAAGAAAGACGGCGGAAAAAGGACGCGGAGAAGGTGCGAAAGTACAAACCTTTTGAGCTGCGCGCTCGCAAACGTCCCACACAGGAGAAGAGCCGTCTTCTCAGTCTACCAGCTGAGATCCGGATCATGATTTGGGAGTATGCCATGACTGGACAGTTCATCGTACTCTATCGAAAGCGGGGCAAAGTCACGTCTAGTGTCTTCGACGGCCATGGCACCACGAGTGTCAACAATGCAACTGTCTCGATCATGACCAGCATAGCCATGTCTAAAGAGGAATCAGGCGCCATGTCTTTGCCTCTGACTTGCACTACCACGTGAGTCATTAGGCATAGCGACCTTGCGGAAGCCCACGGACTGACGTATTAGATACCTGGAAACGATGACGATGCTTTATCAGGAAAACACGTTTGTCTTCCTCGATACCACCGTGCTATTCGAACTTTGTAGGGAACGATCCCGGTTCAACATGGCTCAAATCCGCTCTTTACATTACTTCGTCGGCACACGGAAGTTCATCTGGTATGGAGCTACACTACCAGAGCTCGATATGATTTCGTCACCTACCCACGCCGAGAGATCAGAGAGTGCAAGCCAGGTCTTTCATGAATGTCTACCAAACCTTGAACAACTCTCAATATTCCTCTACGGCCCCACCCGTAATGTCGACGACTACACCAATATGCTAGAGCATCTGCACAACGTCTATCGAGACCGAATTTCCATCAAGATGAATGCGTTGGGAGTGAGCGAAGATTATTTATTCCACGATCGTTTTATGCATCCCCATTCCCACGCGGTACATATCAAGATACTGACCTCTTTCTCATGCATTCCATTATTGAAGGGTACCAAGCGTCCGGCATGTCACACTGGACTTCCGCGTAGGGTCAAAGTTGATGACACATCAGTCGACAACTTTACTTGGAGGGCTGAGAAGCTACGGCTAGGATCTTATGATCAAGCAGAGGGGGCAAAGGCTCTGGTGTATGTGGTACTAAAACCCGAAGATGATACAAGGAGGATCGTAGGGCAGTTTGAACCGGCAATACTCTGGGATATTATTCCCGACAGCTAGGGGAGTAAGCAATTACATCAATGCTGACTGGTTGTCTGTGCATGAACCTTCGACTTCCTGTTTTGGGCTCGCATACACGTTGAAGGAGAGTTGGACTGCCGAGTGGAGTCGGATGCATCGGCACTCTCCATCGCCCGTCGATCTGTACCCAGCAAGGCGACGTCAATGCGGACATGACGAAGGCGCCTGCCTGGTCAGGAAGCCCAATGATGCGCATCACGCGTGTTTCGTTTCGAGATGGCTGAGGCTTCAAGGCTGAGGCAGCCGATGTTCCCGATGCTTCCCAAGTAACCGGTCCTTCTGCGCGTGACGTTATGTGGGAACTTGCCGGCAAGGCCGAGCGCCCTTTTGGAAGCTTTGCATGCATGCCTCGGACAGGGAGTGTGGCATAACACGCCGAAGAGCAGGATGATACGCTTTTGTTGCAACCGCCTGTGCCACAGCCACAGGTGGTGCGAGAAGCCTCTCTGGAGGTCAAGTTCGCAGTGGGGCGGTTGTCTACATGGCGAAGTAGAGGCGGCCAAAGCGGTGATAGGGTCTTTGTTAGATGGAATCGCAATTTACCCCACGGCGATTGCGGCGCATGATGAGAGGAACAGGCTAGCGGGCTGCTATCTTGGGCAAGGTGAAGCATGGGGCCAAACAAGGACGGATGTGGCGCCGGCCAATGGCAGGCAAGCCTCAACCCTCCGCCAGCCGCTGCCCTCGAACGCGACCGAGTATCACCTGTTGACGCTCCCTCGACACCACTCGTGGCCGTTTTGTGCTCCATCGACAAACGTAGACGCCTGCGCTGCGATTCACTCACTTGCTCGCGCCATAGCATCTTGTACTCCATTCGTGTTGTGTTCACCTTGCGACTGCCGCTCGACACCCCCTCGCGCCTGCCGCTCCCTGACGCCCGTACCCACTCGTTCACCCCAACTATAGTCGTCGCATTCACCACGGCGCAAAGCCAGCAACAATAGCCCGAGTAACAACAATACCACTGTTGTTGCTATACATATACATACGCAGCCATCGGACACGCCTCTTCCGCTGTCACCGCTGTTCAAGCCTTGCGCATCTCAAACACGCAACGCTCCACCCACGCGCACACGTCTCTTGTCATGCGCACGGCACTCTGGTAGCATTCCGAACACCCACCTTTTTGGAAAGCCCTCCGTCCCCGGCCACCCGCCGCAATCCTCCGCTTGCTTAACAAAACCACCGCCCCTGTCGCTCTTTCCCTCGCTCGCTAGTGGTGAGCAGCCGGCCTGTCACCACCATATCGCGAATACTCACTCGACAACCGAAATTGCCTCCTCCTTTTGGCTACAACAACCAACCCATGTCCTAGCGACCAAGTCACTCCTTAGACGAACAGCTGGACTGCAGGCCACCGTACCGCTGAGCGGATACTTACATATACACATACGTACATACCGACTAATACCGAATCGCCAACATGGGGTGCTGCGGAGACCGCGAAAAGGGAACTACCGTGACGGAGGAGCAGAAGTGGACTTATATCGTAAGCACTTGAGCGCGAATATGGAAGCGCATTGCTAATTGCCCTAGAACTTGTCCGACTTCAAGTCTACATCTTGCCTCGCGCCTTTCTCTTACGCCTGGCTGTGGATTCTCGTCGTCATCTCATGCGCCGTCTACGCCGCCGATGCCTTTACCGCCGTCAACCTCCTCGCTTTCGACAAATGGACGAGTCAGGTCAAGCCTACCGTGCCTTTCGACATTGCCAAATGGATCTTCGCCATCACCATCATCGTCTCCTACGTCTTTCTCGCATACCGATGGATCCGGGCTCTGCGCGTCATGCGGACAGGAAGTGTCACCGAATGCTACCTCGAGCCATTGGCTGCTATACTGCAGAGTATGCGCATCACAAAGACTGGCCAGGGCTGGCGCCGCTTCTTGGTCTTCGCAGAGTTGACCAAGAGTAAGAAGGGTGCCAACTACATCGCTCTCTTCGTATACTTCCAGTTCAAGAGCGCGCTTCTCATCATTGTCGCCCAAGGACCTCGCATTGCCCTCAATGCCATGACTTTATACGCCGTCATGCAAGCGCAGCTCATACCCGTCGGCGAGCACGCGTCAGAAGATCGCTCCAACTTCGAGCAGTTCTTCATGAACATCAAGCTCATGGTCGAGACCGGCAACAAGCAGGAAACAGTCATCTACTTCACCATGTTGTTCTCTCTCGTCATCTGGGTCATCGCTGCGCTGGGTCTCATCATCGCTGGTATCTTGTACCTCTTCTTCCTCTGGCACTACATCCCCAAGGCCGATGGCAGTCTTACCAACTACTGCCGACGCAAGGTCGAGACCCGTCTGGAGCGTATTGTAGGCAAGAAGATCAAGAAGGCCATCGAGAAGCAGAACCAGCAGCTGAAGAGGGAGGAGGAGAGGGCCATCAAGAAGGGCGAATTTGACGCTTCCAAGTCCCGTCCTACGCTACCCAAGCTCGAAGGCGACGATGACGATACATCGACCGTCTTTTCGCTGCAACGATCCGATACGATGCAGACCACCGCGACACTGCCTCCGTATACCCTCGCAAACACACCTTCATACAGAACAAACCCGGAGCGATCGAACACCTCGAACACCTTCAACACCATGAACTCGGGCCGAAACTTGATGAACAAGCCGTCTCTGCCCACGCTAGACGAGCGACCTGGCATGCCAGAGAGGGACGCACAATTCACAAACTTCTCGACTGCCAGCTTCGCTTCAAATGCGCCAATGCTGAACCAGGCAGGAGGTATGGGCAGGTCGTCGCCTGCACCTCAAATGCCACCTCTGGACCGTAACGGCACTGGGTACTTTGGCCAGCAAGACAACCTGCCTTACCAGTCCGACCGACCTTTCACACCAATGTCACAGGGCAGAGCGTCCCCACTCCCACCACGTGGGCCCATGCCCCCTGTGGATACAAGCTACAACAACGGGCGATACGAGAACGATCCTCAACTCATCACTCCCCTCGATGCGCGGAATACACCACAACAAGCTCACCCCAACCGACCGTACCAAGAGTTCAGCCCCTACGACAGCCGGGGTCCTCAGTTGGGCCCGGAGTATGAACTGTCACCTGTCGATGTCAACCCCACAGAAGATATCTCGCAGCACTACTTCTCGGACTCGAACGGACAAGCCGACTATCAGCCACCTCAGATGCCCAGCTTATTAAGAGCAGGCTCGCCTGCCCCATCGCAGCCAATGGGTCTACCATCTCAACCACGCTCAGGTACCGCGCCTCCGCGATCTGGCACTGCACCACCCCGAGCTGGTGTTCCAGCATCACTGCAATCAGCAATCCAGCGTCGTGAAGCCTCGCAACCTTTCCCCAACCGAGGCATGAACGGCTCAGCGCCACCTCAGCAACAACAGCGCAGTGCAACAGCACCTATTCAACAACCAGGTTGGGCTCAGGGACCGCCTGCCCGTAGCTACACACCTCAGGGCCCCGGCCCCCAACGTAGCTACACACCCGTCTCTGGACCCCAACAACAACAGCAGCAACAACGCAGTTACACCCCCACTGCGCCTCGTGGCTACGACAACAGCTACAACTACTGATCTCCCTCATTTCACTTTATCTCATACAACGTTTGGAATCACCACATTTATGCATCTCACGGCGTTCACTTCTACTCTCCATCTGTCATCTTTGTGCCTGAGGCCGCCCAACCCCCATTCTTTCCTTACAACTCTTACATTCATACGCACGACGTTCTCTCCTCCACGCCAATGTGTGAGTGAGGGGAATGTTTAACGATCTTTGTTCTGCTTTCTACTTTCGCTCTTTAGCTTGGTTTCGAGATACCCCCCAACCCGCATGGCTGGCCTCGGACGTCCTTTCGCTCTTTGATTTTACGCGTTCACCTGGAGGATTTTGGTTGGAATGACTTGGTGGAATGATTTATCTGGTTATGTGGAGGGGCTTGTCTCTTGTGATGGATGAGGGGATGAAGAGATGGGGATCTAGGCTTTGGCTTAGACATGTATAGGTAGCGTGGTTGGGTTACATCATCCTCAAAAGTGAGGACTGTCTGCGCTGGGAGAGGCGCGCATACGTGTATTATATACCCACTTCTTTTTGCATTTCGTGGAAAGCAATGGAAACTTGTGCATACTCATATTGAAATTTTCGCTTCACTCTAACCATATATCCTCCCGATCCCGATCATCCGTCATCTCTTTGAAAGCCCGCTCATCCAGATCGCGGAACTGCAACGATCCGATCCGCCGATACACGCTTTCAATCTTCTCTCCCATCTTCATGATTCTCTCTGACTGCTGCAACATGAGTTTTTCGAATGCATCCAGCCGCCATTGTTGTTCTCGAGACGGTTCTACGCCTGCTAGTGCGCTTTTGTAGTCTTGGTACAGCCGTTCTTGCGCGGTGAACCAGGTAGAGTGTGGGACGAGGAGGAGACCCACGCCGGAGTATGTTTGGCGCGCTTGGGGACAAGAAGTTTGGGGTAAGTTGGGGATGTTGGTGGTGTTTGAAGTGGCGGATGTGGCGAGGATGATGAATGCACAGTGTCCTGGGTCGATGCATGTAGTCGCTGGTGGAGTGTCGAGGAAGACATCTAGTTCAATAGCGTCGCTAGAGGTCTCGCTGGAGAAATGGAGACGGTATTCGTCCTCTTGCACCTTCACCAGTCTCCCGACGTTCATGTGAGTCTTCAGTGCCAATGTTCTGCTCTGTAGTACTGGCTCCTTGTCGCCTTGTCTAGTTTCTTCTTTGACTGTGAATCTGACAGCAGCTCCATCGTGATCTGTAATCTTGTATGGTCGTATAGCCAGTCGGTGTTGAGGCACAATAGCACCTTTGATACTTGCCCAAGACCAGCTGGGGATATTGGCGTCTAGTTCCGGCATCCTCTTACATGACTTAGTATCACGCACTCTCCAAGCCAGTTGCTCCTCGAGCGCCTCAGACCACATACCCACAGCGTATTGCTCGTTCATGAAATCGCGTAACAACTTCGCGATACTCCAGATTGCGATCGTCTTGTCACTTTGATTCGTCAGTTCGCATTCCGTGTAGTTTTGTACTGCGGACATCCAGAACGTGTAGGAGCTTTCGTTGTCGATGACACCGACCATGGCATTCGATGGGACGGTGCTTCTGGCTAGCCGTCCTCTCCAATGTCGATCCGTGCTCGCTTTGTGATCGAGAGAGAATGGAAGGCCTTTTGGAAATACCTCGCAGGCTGAGAGCGTACCACAGTCCCAGAATATCTGATGCTTTGTGAAGTGGAGGATGCGAGGAGAGAGAATGCGTTCTGGAAATTGCCCAGGGTCAGCTTCTGGTGAGTTGAGATAGCCTAGTGGCGGAGAATGGATGGAGCGGTGATGGGCTCTGCTTACCTTGGAAGACCCATGCACGGCCATATATCGCGGAGCTTAAGAGTTCTTTCTCCCAAAGGTCTGCCGGAACAATCGTCCAAGTCTTCCCCCCCAGATGATGACGCGCATCAGTACCTTGGTATCTGACCGGAAGGATTTTGTGAGGTGTGCGTTCCCAGAACAAACCGCCGTGTGCATCCTTCGAGTCCGCTGCAACGATATTGCAATGCGAGTAGCGATACACCCTGTGCATGAGATCGGCTTCTTTCGCAAAGTCACCAAGGGGTTCCTGCACGATCGCGAGACTGTCAATCCAAATGTACCGCACCTTCAAGAAGCGGGTAACATGTATTGCGTGTTGAAAGTTACGTGGAAGCTCGTCTAGAGTAATGCCTGTGATCAGATGCTTCGCCATGTTCCACACGGTCGTAGTGAGGAACGGCTTCTCTCGTGGTCCCCAAGCGTGACTCAACGTGCAGTAGGGGCCCTTGACTTTCGTCGTTTTGGTATCTACTAAGCGGATGACATTGTCATCTCCAGTGTCAATGTCTAGAAGCCGCGTCGGTAGGAAGGAGAGTTTGGATCGTTGGTCGTGCCAGGCCTTGCTACAGTCTTGATGATCGCGCATACAAGTGTTCATCCATTTGTTGATCTGAGTCCCTCCACTGAGTTCTGGATCTGTTGTTTCTGGTAGATTCTCAGGCGCAGGCACATACAGATCAGTTCCTGGTAGGAATCGGAAAGACTTGGTTGTAAATTTCGGATGAGAAGACCGAAACCGCAGCATCATCGATCCTCTTAGCTCCCTGCCGCGTGGCAGCGCTCGAAGGGTCCAGTGATACAATGGCCAGTCTTCAGTGTTCGATAGGAAGCGCTCCATGTTGGCGTAGAGCGATGTGCAAAATGTGCATTGGTTTAAAGCGATATTTGCACCATCTATTGAGGTTCGATGTTGGCCGGAGGATACAGCAGACTCTAACACACTGCTGATGCAAAAGTCACATACGCCCATTGGCGACTGTTTTGATGCCGTTTTTGCTTGTGTGACCTTTCTTCTGGGCTCATGGTCCTGAAAGATACCCCGAGACATACTCGGTACATACTCGGCGCTGTTCATTCTGGGAGGCGATTGGACTAGTTCTTCGTCCTTGTCAAGGAATAAAGTCCGATCGTACGTACCCTCCGGCTCGCGGATGCCAAGGCCATGTTTGAGGCTCGTGAGCGGTGTTGGGAGAGGCCTTTCGCTTGCCAATGTGTCGAATGTGCTTCCCAAGAGATCAGGTGTTTGGTCTGATGAGGATGTCTCTTGGAACTGATGTGGTAAGATAGCACCAGGTCTTCCCTCCGCTGTAGAATCGACTCGGCGGCTCGCCCGTTCTAACGAATCATTGTACTTGTCTTTCACATACAGAAGGAAGGCGGGTTTGCAGCATATGTCCACTTTCCGGTCTACTGTGCGTAGATCTGTAAGCCATCCATTTGCTGCAATAAAGACGTCTTCAACCGATCTGGGAAAATCTAAGTTCATGCAAGTCCTCTGAGCAAGACGTATACACTGTTCAAGGTCTTCCAGGGCGATTCCCTGCGAATGATTCTTAGCGGCAGCAATCGCATGTAATGGAGGCAAGCGCTCAGGTTCCGGTTTGCGCTCGATGAAGCTCATCTCGGTGTCGAAATAAGCAATGACATCCCTGGGCAGTCTGTCGTCGACTCGATCTATGCTGAAAGTGGTGATCTCGTCCCGCGTAAAGACATCTTCCAAATATAATAATGCAAGTGTTATGTTGCCACCAGCCTTCGACTCGATGTACTCAACAACGCGGGTTTCGTTTTCTGAATGGATATCGCGATAGTGCAGGCGCAGTCTTTTCCCGAGCAGGCCTTTCAAGTCAAAGTGACCCAACTTAATACTGACATGCGGATAGGTTTCCTTAAAACCACTCACTGGGCATCTGTGGGACTTCTCCAGGTGTTCCTTCTTTTCGCAGTCATAACACAGATCAAACATGCTGCATCTTGAACATTCCCACCAGAGCTCCAAGTAATCCTGCTTGCATTCGTCGCAATCCTTATTGCGGGAAATGGAGAACACTGGAACTCTCCGTGTGATCATCACCTTGAATCCGCTGAGCTCCAAAGCGGATAAGTGTGTATCAACAATCGACTGTAATGCTTCGTTGATGCGATCGTATCCGTCGAGAATGAGAAATTTGCAAGCGCTGGAGGCGAAGTTATTTAGAGCTCCGATCAGCTTCTGTATCCGCTCGGTTCCCGAACTTCCGGAGTAACACGCGAGCTTATATGCTTCGTACTCCGCATTGGGTTCAACACCAAGTTCAAAGTATATGAGCTGGAAAAGATCCTCAATAAACCTCACTGATGTCGACCACACATGCTGTGTGATGGAAACCGATGCGACAGCCGTTTTGATTCCGTTTATGCTAGATGGGAGACGATCGGCAGCGAGAGCAGCTACAGTCGTCTGTCATGGTAAGTACTGTCCTCTACCAGATCAATAGGAGCTCACTTTGCCACAGCCAGGCTCTCCATAGCAATGCAGTTGCCAGTGTTTACTACCCGAAGACCATGCGCAGAAGGCTGGGGATGCGAAAAACTTGTTGAATATGGTGGGATCATATTCGCTGCCATGTAGCGTGTTTCGGCTCAAGGCTGAGTGTGGTACGTGAGTTTGTGGCGCAAAAGGATCTGGAATGTCTCCAGCCGCGGCGTCCGACATTGTCGTAGGCGCCACGAAATTGCAGATGCATTCGCAAAGAAGTTGCCATCCATTAATTTGTTGTTTGAAGGCTGCAGGTGTTGCTTTTGGGAGTGAAGACGGACAACAGGTTCCAGTGGGTCGGCCCCCGCTCCATCTATGTCCGTGCACTCGGCTTATGTCATGCAACCGGTCAATTAGCCTGGCGCGTAATCCACAAATACACATCGTCCTCCACCTCCACACAACCTGTGTGTCAGCCGGCACGTCGCACAATGTAACGCTGCGTTGGTCGACTGCATACAGCACTTTCTTGTTCCAGGTATTCATCAGCCTAGTTCGCGAACTGGCTGCCTCTTCTCTACTGCCCACTTTTGCCTTCTTCAACCTTCTCCCGTTCTAGACAGTTCCGCTCATGACCGCACGAGCTTTCGTCACACTAAATGTGCGCCTCTACCACGCTCACAATTGTTTCTATAGGTGTAGATCTGGGCTCTGTTTGCTTATCGAACTCCAGCGCGGACGAGGACCTTCTATCATCCAGCTTTCATCTACCGTTTGGACCTTCAGCTAGCGACTGGCCTATGCAAACTCGTAGCCAGCTTCCCGTCGACCTTGGATATATCGAACCAGGGATTTGTATATCTCTTCAGCCTACCGACTCCTAGCACCGCGCGGAATAGGCCAATAGGCCATGTGGGGGCCAAGTGCGGCTGATATGCAAGATGACTGCTTTGTACTCCGCACATGAACCCACGAATCGACTGACAAGCCTCTAGCGCAATTCCGGGAAAGGCTTAAATTATCTCATGATCTATTTACCCCCTGCAGCTTTCCGTTCACTGCGCCTGTGGGTATTGGTGGCTTCGTGCATTGGCAGGAGCAAGTGTTCATTCATTCGACAGCAAACGTCGGCGGCCTACCGTTCCTGTACTGCTTCAATTTTAATGAGTTCCCGTTGAGGCTGCGCAAGCCATCGCCACATATTCAAATCCCTGCCAGTGAGCTTCACAGAGTTACACAAGATGTGATCACGGAAGTTCAAAAGTTGAGGAGATCCACTCTATCTACTGACAAGATAACCCGGTTTGGTCACTTCTTCTTAGTCGCGCGTCATGTCTCTCGTTAGGCTCCTGACGATATCGTGCCTGTTGGCATACGGATGGGCAAACCCTCTGAAAGGCTCTTTCGCCCCTCGACAAGTTGAGCCTCCTACAGCTTCCGAAGAAACTGTCTCTACGGCGTGTGGGGATATCATTGTTGCTGTAAACAACGGTCAGTACCATATTACATGATGGGGAGAACACCTTTACTAATTAATGGCAAAGACTATACACTATTCCAGGCATCATGGGTGTACGAGTGCTTGCAGAGCATTCCTTTCAATCCAGCCGTCGCAATGCGCTTCCTCGACTACTACAACATGACCTTACAATTCCAGTCCACACTTGGATACCTCAAGGCGCCACCCGCGGGCTACCAACGAGCACCATTCGACGTCGACCAAGCCCTAGAGCAGATCAAGCAGAACGTGACTGCGGCTGCCTACAACAACCAATACGAGTTTGAGGCACAGATTCAGCTCATGGTAAACCAGCTTCATGACACACACGTTACCCTCAATGCCGGGGCTCTGTCGGCATTCTCATTCGTCGGCTCATATGGGCTTGTGAGTGCGTCCATTGACGGCAAACAAGCGCCAGACATCTACCTCGATCAAGACCTATACGAAGCCTGGGCGGTTGATGAATACGAAGCGTCACCTGTGACCCACATCAACGGGGTCGACGTGATCGAATATCTGGAAAGCTTTGCCAACCAAAACTCTCAAGGCTTCTTAGAACCACATGCCGATTGGAACGCGATAATGAATAGTCCTGCGCTCAGTATCCAGGGTATTCCGAGTACATTCCAGTCGGCAAGGCTTTACCCTGGGAATGGAGTCTTCTCTGATGCGCTAAATTTTACACTCCAGAATACCACTGTCGTCGAAACTATCTGGTGGGCAATTTGCATTGGTTGTAAGGATACGGGACCTCTTACTACTGGCGGCGACTTCTACAACTACTTTGTCCTCGGTTTCCTACCAGAAAGCTATAGTGAAGATGAGCAGTGGTGGCCAACCATTGAAGACGAGGTTCCTCCTCCGACCGACCAAAGCGATGGTGCTTTCAACTTTACAGCGGCACTGGAAAGCTATTGTAATGAAGGAGCTTCATCGAGCGAAAACTGGTGCATGAACAGCTTTGGCGCATACCCAAATAACCCCATGACCGTCCAAGCCGATCTTTCTGTCATAGGAGGAGGAATCGTGTCCAGCTATATGTTGGATGGGACATCTACCGCCATCCTTAGCATGCCCTCATTCTATCAGAATGGTATCGATACCTCCAACTTTCGGCAGGCGATTCGCGACTTCATCGGCAACGCATCACAAAGTCAGGCTTCCCGTGTCATTATCGATCTGCAACAAAACTCTGGAGGTCTTGTGTTCCTCGCGTACGATACATTCAAGCAATTCTTTCCGAATCTTGAGCCCAACGGAGCAAGCCGCCAACGTAGTCATGAATTGAGCGATCATCTTGGTGAGGCTTATTCAGAGTGGTGGGACCAGTCAGGCCAAGACCAGGCTGAGAACTACAATTGGGCGTCGAGTGAGTGGATCGTCACTAATCGCATCAACGCCGCTACTGGGAAAACATTCTCGTCTTGGGACGAGTTTTACGGCCCAGAGATTAGCAACGGCGACACATTCTCGGGAAGTCAACGATACAATCTGTCCGATGAGAGTTTCGACTATTCCGCATTTGGCGACTACCCCTATGGCTACGATCCCAGCGACCCCATAACCAACACTTCACCACCTTGGGCTCCTGAACAGATAGTCATTCTTACTGATGGTTTGTGCGCCTCTGCATGCGCTGTCTTTGTCGAGTTTATGACCTATGAAGCTGGAGTCAAAACCATTGTCGTTGGTGGTCAGCCCAAGCCCGGCCCCATGCAAGCAGTCGGCGGCACTCGTGGCGCCGCCGCATACTCTGCTGACGCCCTCGACTACGATTTCGACGAAGGATTGCAGTATCTGCCTGTGAACAAGCCCGAAGTAGTTCTACAACTACCCAACCGAACGGACACAGGAATGTGGATCAATTACGCCGGTTTCA